TCAGTCAGATACAGCAGTGTGTAAAAAAAACGGTTTTCTCCGCTGGGGCCTATTCCACTGAACAAAATGTGTCGCTTTTCAAATTGATGAATCAGAATATCTTTTTTGTTTCAGACATGACGTCAGAGACAAAGATGTGGCTCCTTGCACTTCTGTCGCTTCTCCACAGAACTTCTGTCTCAGAAACAGGTACAGTCAGGAGGGACGTTGTGAGACAATATCAATTCTTCTGAGCTCCCGTCTTCAGAACGAAGTTAAAGGCAGTGAGGCTGTCTTGACCCTAGAGTATGTATCCATAGAAAATCCAGGGATGGATTCTGCACTAGAAACCCCAATTCATCACTGTGAGCTGGTGACTAAAGACCCTGGCTCTTAAAATTGAGGTCCTGACTGTTAGCGGTCATTGATCGTCGGTCTTAATAGTAGGAGTGTCTGCCCTGGTGTCCCACCTGAGCTCCACCCCAACATCAGTTGGAATCCCTCTTTCCGATTCTACTCGCTCCACAAGACCTGTGTCTCAGGATCAGGTGCAGCAAGGAGAGACTCCTTTTCCCATTAAAATATCTCTTCAGTTTAATGGTCCCTGCCCCACAGAGCCCTCTGTTGCTCATGGTGTCTGGGTGAGGACTGGGGAAAGGCCCCGGATCTGGTACTGATGACTCTGCTGTCCCAGCGGGTTCAGTTTCGGCATGCCTAGTGGGTGCCTAGCAGACTCTAGTGGGTGGTGAGTGGGCCGAGTTGCCAGGCAGAGATCTGGAGAGACAGGAGAGGAGACGTTGGCCTCTGGCGGGCACACACACGCGAGTGTCAGAGCTGGCATCTCCGTCCGTTTCCTCGCAGCGGGCTCTCCATGCCATCCCCCAGAGCGATGGCTCGAGGGTGCCAAGGAGATAAGGAGAGGACAGAGTCCCTGAGCCACCCCTGGGCACAGCTTCGGGGCTAAACCCTGCAGCTCTGTCTCCTGGGGCGGATTAGGTTTACTTAGTGGAGCACAGGAGGCACAGTGGCACAGCGCTGGGGCCCTGGGTTCAATTCCTGGAGTGCTATCTGTTTGAATGCTCTTCCTGTGTTTGCGTGGGATTCCTCCAGGTGCTCCAGCTTCTTCCCACAGTCCAAAGATAGCCCGTCATTTCAAGAGATCATACTGCATCGGGATCTACCAGTTTAGAGTGCCACAACAGTACATCGAACTATAGTTCTCGTGTGTCGTAGTACAGCATTTAATCCTAATGCAAACTCTAAAGACTGCTCACTAAATGAAGCCAGAGCATTTATCTTAGACAACTGCTGACTGACTGGAAGGGCTGATTGGAGTGGCCTGGGAGAGAGATTACCAGGAGTTTCTGGAGACAGTCCAGGGGTTCCCTGACGGCCGGTGTGAGGAAGATCAGGGGAGAGGGAGAAGTCAGAGGTCACCGATCTTCGCTCCTCCTCAGTCACGTGCGAGGTTGAATCAGAGGGCAGATGTTTGACTTGGGCTGCCTAAACACTGCAGGAACAGCTATAAAGCAGAAACACAGAAAACAGTGCCTGGCTGACGCATGCTCTGTTTTGTTCCATAATGCCAGTGCAAGCTTGTCTCAGTGGGCTTTCTACATAGAAGAGTCTCATGCAGTCTGTGTGCTCTTTCTCTTTCAGAGACGTTTCAGGTTCTTGGTCCCCCTGCTCCTGTTGTTGTGTCCCCCGGTGAAGACGTCGTCCTGCCCTGTTCCCTCTCACCCAGCGTCAGCGCCCTGGACCAGGTGGTCAGGTGGTTGAGAGTCGGTCTCATAGTTCCCATCTGCTTGTACGCAAACCAGCAGTACATCCTGCAGGACCCGCTCTCCCCCTACTGGGGAAGGACTGAACTCTTCACGGCTGAGCTTGCCAGGGGCAATGTGTCTTTAATCCTGAGAGATGTGAGGCACTCCGACCGGGGACAGTACAAGTGTTTGGTAGAATTTAAAGAAGCTGTGGTTGACCTGGGTGTGAGAGGTAAGGGTGTCAACTCACTCACAGTTTGGTTTCCTGCCTGATGACAGAATAACATTTGAGATGTGTGGGATCGAGCACACTATTGTCCAGCATGTCTCTGATGATTCATACGTACAGCTGTGTACCTTCAGGTACATATCCCAATATATGGGCTGTGGTACCATATGCTTCACAATAAGGGTGGTGGGAGTGTGGAACAAGCCACCCAGCTATGTGGTTGAAGTTCATATCCTGTT